CATTTTACTTAGGCCTATATATGGCCTTCAAAAAGTTAACGACTACATGTTTCGACGTTACAACGTCATCCTCAGGAGTGATATCCCAAACATATCAAATGATTGTTGGTGTGGATTGGCTGTGTAGTGGATTTCAGAACTGTCAAGCCAGTTTGAAATCTGTTCAATATCGCTAAATAGTCCCCACACTTTAAGGTGTAGGAACATTACGTGAGTGACATTCAATCCCTTAGCTTGAAATGTGGGTGGCATGATTGGTTGTTTTCTCTGGTCAAGTACTTCAAAAGTAAGATTAGCAGAGATATAGCTGTAGTAGCTTCGCCAATAATAGAAAAATACAATTATAAAATTAAAAGATTGTTCTCATGATATAAAAGGTCTTTTTAAGATATATGATATGATAGATTGCTAATATTATATTCTTACCATTTCATAACTCCCAAGATGGTTTCACTAGAGTGCAGATCAATATTTCTGTCGGAGTATATTTTTTCTGTTAACTGCATCTGAGAAAAAAAAATATATATATATGTATATTAACAACTCCAGATCAGTATCTTGTCAGTTATTGGGATAGAGGGAGGCATATCATGGTATGGAAATTAGTAAACCAAGACAAAATATCAATGTGTATATTGTTGATGCATTAGTTGTCCCCAATTATCTTTCAGACCAATACAAACTGACAAAATTTTGTGGATCATTAAAAGTATATAGGCCTATACTACAGTATATGACCTCTAGATATAAAGTTCACAGAAAGTTGTTCCTAATTATTTTTCAGACCAACACAGACTGACAAAATTTTGTAGATCATTATAAGTATATAGGCTTGTACTACAATATATGACCTTTAGATATAAAGTACACAGAATGTAGATAAAGTTGTAAGAACAACATTTAGGATTTTAATATTTAATCAGCAAAATCTCTACATATGTTTCATTAGTATGCATTTATTTTTTTTCAGTTTTATAATTTTTTTGCTGAAAGATTCTGCAGTTGGAAACTACTGCATTATATGATCCAAGCAAAAGTACCCATCCCCAGTGACAGGAAAAGTTTGAGTTAATCTATCAATTTAAATTATTTCATATACTTTAAAAAGGTTAATTGTGTTCCATTCTTGGTTTCATTCACTGCAAAAAGTAATTGTTGAGGATTTCAGTCATGCTAAGAGCCGCTCAACAATAACATACGGTAAATCTACATTTTTATTCTTTAAGTTACATCACATTTTGAAATGTGAGTGATAGTGTCATTAATTCCTAACAATTTAATGTAGAATATCCTGCATATGAAATAATATTTGGCATGCCTGTACTCTCTTCATTTCGAAAGTGAATATTGGACTTTGTCTATATGCACAGCTTTTCAAACACAGCATGGGAAGCAGCCACCATAAACAGGAGAAAGACATCACAGTTCACAGTATATATATGAGATTTGTTTGGAACAAACCTTGATATAATCTGCCCAATATACAAATAAATACACAGTGTTGTCATTCAGTCATATGGATTTTCTCACCAGCAGAAAAATAAATATTAATACCATTTAGTCATGTATATTTATTCAATAGCAGAAGAAAAAAAAATATATATATATATATTTCTACAGTGTTTTAATTTAGTCATGTAGATTTTCTCACAAGCAGAAAAATGAATATTCAGTGTTGTAATTTAGTCAAGTGCATATTCTCACCAGTAGAAAAATATAGTGTCATTTCAGTCATCAGCATTAAGTTCTGATTAGCTGTATCAAGTACATTCTTCTTGAGTAGCAAAGTAGAATGATGGTGTCTTTAAAGGTTTTTCTCTAGCAGATTAATGTCATGCTTGTGATAAGGCAGTGTCTGAAAGGTCTTTTTCCTGTTTGGAGTGATATCTGCCAAGAGTTAAATCATGAGGTTTGCACTCGGAAAGTATGGGGACGATGTAGCAAAAGTTGTAAGCTAGCTTATCTTGCTAATTTCTTCTTTAATCGTCCTGAAAGTATTTTCTGTGCAAGTCTCTTCCTCTTGTGTGTTGGTAAATGTTGGCTGGAATGCAGTATATACTGTGCAAATAATGCTTAAATAATCTATTTCAAAGGATTTGTTAATTGGTTATGACTGTCATAAGCTTTTCATATTTTGATCCTCCCAATGACAGTCTCATCTGACTTGGTTAGTATTATAGAATGGTTTATTGTTTGTTTTTCTTAACATAATCTGGCATGATAGTTCAGACACTCGTGTTGTCTAAGGATTTTACTCTGTCATGGAAAATAGGGTTTAAAAATGTATTATTTTGTTGAAGCCATTCTGTGCTTGATGGCATCCTAATTTTCATGATGATAAGTATAAGTTAAGATGCTGAGGATGATGTATTCAACTGTAATCATGGATATTATCAGCTTTACCAAATTGTTATATTTATGCCACTAAAGCTTTGACTTGCTGCTCTTCTTAATGCAGATTATGAACTGTTAACAACAAGAAAAGCTGCAAACAGCTTCATATCGAATATCTTGTCTTGATATGTGATGAAACCCAAGGAATATGGTCTTAGATTGGCTAACAACAGTGTGAGGCACACATATAGGGTGTGTGATTGTGGGAAGTTCATATGCACATAGAGCTTAAAGTTGTGTCTCACATGCTGTTCACCTTGTTGTATGTTCTATGAAAGACATGTGTGCACTTTCCTGACAACTACCATCATACTGTAACTGTTAGGAAGATATACATTGGTTGTGAGAGGTTCTTCGTGTGTCTACATTAATGCTATTTTAGTATTGGAGAGAGATCGGGTAACTGAACTCCTGGCTTTTCTGTCAAGGAAACTAGCTTAATGGTTTTCCTGTTCTTGTGAATGATAGCAAAGTTAAAAAATAATTCAAATAAAATAATAATGATAAATAAATGAATAAAATTAATAGTGTTCAAATAAAATATGTTATTAAATAATTTAAAACTACACTTGTGTAAAACATCTTTATATACAATTAAAAGAAATACAATGTTAAACTCATTACAGAATAAATAGTTATTAACCCTTTTGCTATGGGCAGGTCAAAGGGTGCATGTTATGACATTTTAGAAAGCTATTTTCAAAATTTTATTAAATAGCTTTGCTGTTACTTATGTCAAAGGGATTCACATCAAAATGAAGGTTATATTTCAAATTTTAATATTATATATGTTTTAATTTCTTAATTTAAAGGGAAATATAAATAAATGAATACATACTTTCATGTGTCACATAACACTTCCTGTTGTGTCATTGTTCAGTTTATAATTAATTATGCCTATCATACAATGTGTGCAGTAGTTATCGAATTAGAAGCTCAAATTGGAGATATTGACAAGAAGACAAATAAGAACCTTCTACCTCTTTGATTTGCTGAGATATAAATATATTTAGCTAATCTAGTAGTTTGGCTCCTACTACTACTACTACAATCTTTCAAAACCTCTTGTCTAGTCTCACCTACTTTTATTTTTCTGAGAGTTTATAACCAATAGATGGGGCAGTTACTTGTTTACCTAAGTCTTATAGCCATTAGTAAATAGCTTGAAGGAGAAAATCGTAATTTCACCTAAATTGTTGAAGTGTGATGACTAAGTTGTTGCTCTAAAGAGAAATAGGATTTTTTATAAAACTCTCATAAAGCTTGTTTAGACACCCAAATAAACTATAGATATTTTGTGTGAACTAATATAGTAAATTTATATATATATATATATATTATATGTATATTTGAAGTGTAAAAAAATTAATAACTCTACACCCTCCATTCAAATGAATAAATGAGGCTTACAGTGAGGCTTAGCA